TCTGTCTGGAGGTTGAAGCTAATAAACACAACAGAACTGTATTTGCATTGTCTCTTGGAGTTCTTTGGGCTGAATCTGACATCAATCTCTCCAGACCGAATCTAACTTCCCAAGCCAGCCAGCCACAACACCATGAATTCCTTAGGGAGGTGCCAGCCTCATCTTCTTGAACTTTCCATGCTCCTGCTGGGGGCTAAGAACACGCTTATCTCCCTTAGCCTGGCCTTCATAAGTCCATTCCATCACACTTGCAGACGTCTCATGACCCAACTGTAAACATCATCAGTGCAGGGGAGGGTGGGGTTTGCTACTCACATGGATGATGTTACTTCGTTGGGTCATGAAATGTCTGCAAGCAAACTACCAAGCTCAGAGAGCACCAAGAAGTCCACAGCATGCCTTCCTTCTTCAAGAAAGGGCAGGTACCCAAGGGGGAGTGGTTCTGGAGCTGCTCACTCCCTCAACCCAGGGTTTAATCAAGTTTTTTTTTGCAAGCTATTGAGTCCAAACTCCAAAAATAGGATTAGGAACCATTTTGGGATTGGGGGTTTCTTAAGAGTGAAATTGGATACCTGAAGCATTTACTGCACTTAAGGCACCCGCTTTGCCCTTTCTCCCACGGTTCAAAATCTGCAAGAACAAGGGGTCCTGATGTTTCTCTCCATCCACTCTGGGGGATCGGAGACCCACAAAAATGGGAGTGGAAGAAAGTGACTGAAAGTGGGAGGAGTGGATACAGCACACTTTTCAAATACCTGAAAACATGACGCCTGTTCACTATTGTCCCGAGATTATGATCCATCATATGCCTGCTGATTTATTAAAAGGCTGTAATCCATGTACTAATCTATCAGCCTATACATTTATCTGGAATTTAATTTTCAAACCACAACGCATGCAGATTTTCCAAAAATGAAAGTTAGAAAAAGGGCAACATACCACAGAGGAAAGGCTCACTGTTCCACGTCACTCTGCAAGTCTTCCATAGGTTGCGTTCTCTGTTGTTGTGCTATCTCAGAAGGAGAATTCAAAATTACCGTAATGCTGGTTTCTTTTCATTAAAATGAATATCTGCAAACCCCAAATTGGCCCGTAAGGAGTTCAACTTAAAGAAAGGGACTGATCAAATTAAAAATGACTTCAAAATGTGGAACAAAACTGCATGTACACACATTTAAATCCTAAAATTAATCAACTGGAATACCAGCTAATGCTGCGAGTGCAAGAGCCATCACGTAGGTCTAAAATAAAACAAGCTCGTCATCCCTCTTTAAAAGTCATCTAACCCCATTGTCACCACTGCATTTCATAACACCAAACTTAGTTATAATAGGAAGTCCAGCGTCAGTCAAGATCAAGACTGGATCAAAATCTGCTCTCAATTGTTCCAGAAGGCAGACATGGACTAACAGATTTAACTTAACGAGAGGGCAGGTCCCCACTGAAAATTAGCCAAATCTTGCAAAGACCAAAAGTGGTTTGGCAGTGGAACCAATGACCCAACAATGGGTTGGGTTTCCCTACTCTGGATGTATTCAAGCAGAAGCTAGGCGTTCTTCCCTAGGTGGGGGGGGGGGCTTTAATTTAATATCTTGCATTGAGCTAAATGATCTTGATGGTCTCACTGGCTCCTTCCAATTCTAGGTTTTTAGGATTTTGTAAATGGGTGATCCAGTTGGTTTTTTCAGGAAGAAATCAAGTTCTGCTTCTTTTCAGCTTTTTGCCTATGGGATGGTCCTCCCAGCTAGCACATGGAGGAGACAGTTGTTTTCAAATGGCAAGAAAACCTGTTGGATCCGATTTATGTAACATCCAATGAATCCTGGGCATTATACTTGCTAAGCTGCAGTGCAGGTAGTCCTCACTTAACAACCATTCATTTAGTGACCAGTTGAAATGACAGCGGTGCTGAACAAAGGGACTTACAACCAGTCCTCACACTTAGAGCTGTCACAGCACTCCCTCGGTCATGTGATCACAATCCAGGTGCTTTGCAACCAGCTCACACTTACAACGGTTGCAGTGTCCCGGGGTCATGCAATCACCATTTGCGACCTTCCCAGCCAGCTTCTGGCAAGCAAAATCAATGGGGAACTGTGTGATTCACTTAATGGTCGTGTGATTCACTCAGTGACCATTGCAAAAAAAGGTCGTAAAATCGGGCACGACTCGCTTAACAACTGTCCCGCTTAACAATGAATTTTCCGGTCTCTGTTGTGGTTGTTAAGTGAGGACTACCTGTATATTCAAATAAAAACAGATCCAAAATGTTGACTTGAAATTTGAAATGCACCGCTGGCGTCTGCTCCAAACCTGACCATCTGGGTTTTATCATTTAGTGTTGGCTTTGGACTTTGCAAAGTCCTCTAGGCAATGTTAACAGATGACTACAATTCAGTTAAAAATATTGAATCTATGAGTTAATTGTCAGGCTATAGAAACCCAAATACTCATCTTCCATGCCTGGCACTGCCCATGAGTTGAGGGTCAGATTGAATCAGCTAGTTTCTTTCAGCTCCCTGACCCAGTTAGGACAGCAGTAACTGTTTTCTAGTAGCCAATTCAAGAAATCTCTGATGTTGAAGAGGTTGTCGTCCACCATATTGTTGGGCTCCTGTGTTTTAACTAGCTCTCTAAATTATCCTTACAAACTCAATGGCAGTTTTCTTCTCAAGCTCGCCAAATGAGATCTGTCTTTCAACCTTAAGTTTTCACTAGTTCTCTTTGGAGAAAAGGCAGAAGAGATGGTCCATTCCACCTCCTGAACATTCGACTCCCACCAGCCCTACCTGGGATGACCAGTGATCTAGGAAGATGGGAACTATAATCTTAGTGACAGCTTCAAGATCAGAGGTAGATAACCCCTGCATAAGGGAGTTGAATAATAGCTCAGACATTGGGATAATTAAAAAATAAACTTAGATGGATACCCTAAATGTGAGGAATGCAGAGAAGTGCTTAAGATTTTGTCTAGAAGGCCTCAAATGTGAGGATTCATGCTCTACTGTGATTATGCAGTTCTTGAGCAAAGTGCAACAGGGGTAGTGCAAAATTTTGCAGTGCTCCCAGAAGCTGTTGATTTGTCCATTCAATGGTGGAGCTTGAGATGAATCAGTGCCTTCAAAGTTTTCCCAGATGATTGGCAAGAGAGGAACTTAGATCTTTGGTAGTGAGTAAAAAGGGCACAGTAGGAACATGTGAGTGATGTATTGGCTGTCCACCAGTGGGCAGGGCAGAGACATTCCTGTTGAGGACAACCATTCAATCAACCTTTGAGGAAGGTGCAGAAGTAGCATGTCATCTCTGGCCAAGGGAGAGTACTCCTGTGCGATGGGCAAAGAACCTGAAAGGTAGGAGGCTGCTAAAAAAGATTGAGTGGCAAAGATCTAGGTCAGCTGGAATTGGTTAGGGTAACATCTTCAGACTGCAGAGGGGAGTGGAAGGATTCAGAGGAATAGTTTTCAGTGATTCAAAAAAGAGATTTTGAGTTTCTTCTGGGCGTCTGGCCACCTCTGCACATCCCTTGAGAATGTGAGTTGAAGGCACATACTGGCTTTCACCTTTGTGAGCATCGCAAAAGCAATCCCTCTTTGGTATGATTTTTCCCCAATCCTTTCCAAATAAATGTTCACACTGACATTCTTTCCCATCCTGACCCTTTGGATTTCTGCTTTCGTTCTCTGCCCTTCCACCCAGTTGTTCTCAGCCCCACTGTCTTCCCTCACCTTGGCCTTCCCCGCCTGGATTTTCTCTCACTCCCCATGTTTTACAAGTCCAACGTAATTGTTTGCATCTTCCTCTGTAGATCACCCTTGTCCTGGAACACATTTTCCCCTGAAACAATATTTAGCTGAGAACTAAGTGGCTAGTGGTGAAGGCACCAGGCTAGAAACCAGGAACAGTGAGCTAGTTCTGCATTGGACATGAAGCACTTGGTGACTCTGGGCCAGTCCCCCTCTCTCAGCCCTGTGAAGGAGGAAGAGGAGGAGGAGGCAGCGACAAGGGCAAACTAATTCTGAAAATGCTTCCAAAAAGACTGCAGGGACACGCCCATGTAATTGCTGGAAGTTGTCATCATCATCATCATTGTTACCCTTCCTTCCTTCCTTCCTTCCTGTAGTGAAAGTAGGACCGATTGGACATTTCATTTCCAAATCTGTCCTAAAGCGAGAACCTACACAAACGTGGTTTGACTTGTAGCCCGCTGGGGTGAAAAGGGCAGGAGATCTCTTCTCTGTTTCTCTTTCCACCCATCCCTTACTATCTCCATGGGTTTGGTCCCTGCTTTGTTGATTCAAGTGCTATTACCTCATTCCGCAGAGGGATGTTGGTCTTGGATTCTCACCAGTGTGGGAATGAGATTAGTTTAAATCCTCAGAGCTTGTTGGGCCTGGACAAAAAATGGGAAATGCTCCAAGGCTCCAGAGGGAGTCAAGACAGGGTAAGATCCAGGCAAGAAAGAACTGCCGGGATGTTGTCACATCTGGACAGGAACTTCTGGGAAGGACTGAAAAGGCGCAGCAGAGGCCAAGGGGCATGGTTTGGACAGTGCTTACAAAATGGCAGCTTGGAAGGCATGGCCAATCACAAGCCCTCTTTGTTCCAGAGAACGATTTTGTTGACACCACCGCTCTTTCTAATGTCTCAGGATACCCTGTATCCTCTCAACTTACCTGCATCTTTTTTTGTCCTGAAAATTGGACCCCTGTCCAAAGCAAACCTTGGTCTGCAGTCCCCCACCTTTTTATTTGGTAGGAATGCCTTTTGAGATCCTTGTGGCACCTTGAAGAAGAATAGGGAATAAAGATGGCACTGGAGGCTGATGCAAGGCCAGCATATCTGGACTGTGAAATTCTACCAACCAACCCAGGTGGCAGTATTGAGATGCAGAAAACACAACCTCTCCTTGGTGTCGCCTAGTGCTCATCCTGAGTATTGCAGCCCAAACATGGTTGTCTGAACTCATAACAAGTTAAGTTCTTGGGTGTTTTTTTGTTTTTTGTTTAATTCAGTGAATCTAAATAAAACCAGATGAGCATGAAGCCCAAAAGCCATTGAGTGATATATATTTTGGCATAATGGTCTCCCCAAGCACAAACATACAACATTTATCAGCAGCGTTTTGACCGGTGAGATTTATGTCTGATTGCCTATCCAACCTTGCTGCCCCATAATTGACTTGGGGTTACTAACTATTCCTCAGTCAGAAGCATTTCATATTATTGTCAAAATAAAATGGAGAGGGAATCGTCTTGAAGAAGATTCAGATAGAAATGCCATTCTTCCTTCTTCCTCTGCTGCTTGAAGGAATTTTAACTTCCTTCAAGAGGAGGGGTAGATATTCTGCTGTTCAGGGAAAACCTTTATGTGAGTAGGAAGAGACACTTCTGAACATGAATGGAGTGCTTTCCATTGCAAGTCAACCCTCCCTGGCGAGATCCTACAACCCATTCCTTGTCATGCCCAGCACCACCTCTCCATATCTAAACCAGCTTTGTTCCTCTAAGCTCAGTTATTGCTTGAGAATCCATAGTTAGCTATGGAGGAGCTGCGTTGGTTGTCAGAAAGGGACGGGTTGTGATCGAGATAGGTAGGGTGTCTGCAGTTCTCAGAAGCAGCTCTATCTCCTTTTTCATCCCCCCCCTCCACACACACCAAAATCCATCTTATTACTGTTACCACATATCCTTTCTAGTCCAAAAACGGCATTCTTTCAGTGCGCCCAGCATCTCCAAGCAAATATTTAGACAAGGCAGGGAGGGGTCATGGCAGAGGGACCCCACCTCATGTACAAAGGGAAAGGAAGGGGGCAGAGACCTAAAGACCCCGACACTCCTCGGGAAGAAGGTCAGGGGTGTCAAAGAGACAGATGTGTAAGGGTGGAGAACCTCGAATGTGGTGGACAGCAAAGTGGGACTGTTTCAGTCTCTTTAAAAATACTCTCTTATCGGTTGGAGAGTTAATAGAAAACAATAATGTGGCTCTGGTGGACGATAACAAGGGAATGGAGTCCTTCAGGTTGGACTTGAGCCTACCGTGTGTTGGCAGTAAGGGAACAATCCATCTTCTCCATCCTAACATCCTCCAGAAGTGTTGGATTACACCTCCCAGCACTCTCAGCCCATGGCGGCTGGGGATAAAGGCTGTTTAATGTCACATTTTTAAAAAGTACCCATTAGGAGAAAATCACATTGGTCCCTTTCTGGGACACCAAGAGAAAATACCAAGGGAGCACGTGTAAGGCAATTCACACAGTATGCTTAACTTAGTTAACCAGTTAACCGGTTTTCTGGATTCACACAATACACTGAGCCTGCATCTAATCAAACAGGTTGGGTTTGCACAACACCTTAAGAAGTATCCACCTAATTAAGGTTAAAACCAGGACCTGTACATTGTACAAAAGCAGCTGAAGGGTCTTGAGCTGGCCTGGTTCAGTGTGTTGTATGAATGGAAGCAGTAAGTCATTGAAAGGTTTGTGGAACAGTATTGTGTACCTTTTTATTAGCTATGGATACCTTCATAATTTCCTTCAGCAAAGCACTGGGAGCAGGTGGCAAGGTGAAGAACACAATTGTTACTGGATAGGTCAGAGAAGTCAAGATGGTGACTGCCCTGCCCTTTTTGTTGTGCATCACACAATGCATGTGAAAAAGGGGCAGGTTGTGACCACTATTGTGACATTTTTGACACAGACACACACACGCACACACATACCCCAGAGCTCCTGGTGAAATATATTAAATAATAGCCATGAGATACGGAACAATAAAAGTGCTGAAAGATTGAGAAAATTCTCAAAACGCAGAATGGATGTGGCAATCGCGGGATCCCATCTATTAAAAGATCCCCATTCCGAGGTGGGGCAGGTCAGGAAACAGATACTGCACAGATTTCAGGAATGCTGCTTTATTGTTGCAGGGTATAATAATAGAAACTGGAAAGGCTACTAGAAGGTCCCTTTGTCTCCTCTTAGGCCAAACAGAATCAAGGTGGGGTTAGTCTGAGTTTCCCTCTCACACTTTCCCCTTTTCTGGGAAATAATGGGAGTTGTAGCCCCATACTTCTGAAACTTGCAAAACTGGAGAAGACTGTGTTCAAGAGCCCAAGATACATGTTATCCTCTGGAGCATTGAGGTCTGTAGCTCACTTGCAGCTGGACTGTAAGCATGCAACTAAAAGAATAGAAAATAGGGTCTTGTTTATGGTGACCTGGGTGCATGCCTTCTGGGGACAAGGTTGCATCAGTTCCTCCCTCGTTCTGTGAAAATACCCTTGGGAGGGGTCATTCTCGTAACTTCCCAAACTAAAGAATAGCAGGGACGCGAGCCAAACTTACGCTGACTGATGATTTTTCAAAGGGATGACTTCTGATCTCCACTGTTATCTCCTGGATCAGACAACCAGCAGAGTCGAGCGTTCCACCAAGTATCAAGGTCATGATTTGCAAGCTTTTTATTCTGGGTGACTTCTTGTGGGACTATCACCCCCAGGCCCTACAACCTGTGTTCTTTTTCCTACAGAAGAGCTTGGAGGGAAGCACACTGAAAGAGACCCTTATGGAGGTGCTCTGCAGAGCCGTGAAGCCCAACTTCAACCAGAGCCGGGACAAGTGTACGGTGCGGCTGGCCTCAGATAAAGAGGATCCCAAGAAACTGGCTATTATCGGAGTATCTGTGCAAAGTAGGTGCTGTCATTGCTCCCGAGTAAGACTTAGAAGCTGAGAGTTTTTAGATTGGTCCTCATTTGCCTCCTTGTGGCAAGAGCCATGCTGGAAATGCGTGCACCCAACATTTCCCCTAGCAGTTTTCTGCATCAGCCTTGCCTATCTGGGTTTTTCATCTTGGACTCTCCAAGCCAATGCTTGATTATCCTTGCCTAGGCTTGGAGTCTAAGCAGGTTCAGACTTGATTAGTGCTTGGGTGGAGGACACAGGAGGTCCCCAAGTTGAAGGTTAGACTGAGAAATCAGAAAAACATTCCAGAGAAAAATAATGGCCAACTATTTCCATATTGTTGCCAAGAATGTGTCCATAAGATCACCAAGCATTGAGCTCAGAAGGAGACTTTATCTTGCTCTTCTCCCAGTTCAGTCCTCCTTCTTCCTTGGGATGGAGCTTTCTGATCCTCATGGTTAGCTAGACCTTAGCTGAGTTAACTTAACATCCTTACCCAGGTCAAGTAAAGACACATCAGATGTCTTCACACAATACGCGAAGCTTGATTACTCTTAAGCTTGGTATTTTATGATCCCAATTTGATTAGCCAATTATTCAACTTATCGTGCAGGCCTAGAAAAATGGGCTAATTCAGTAACCAGGTTAAATATGTGACTGCAACACATGGTTCAGTCCTGTGGCCAGAATAGAAAGGAAAAACGAGAAATCAATATGGGAAAACTCCAGTGTCTTAATTCATTTATTTTACTGCAGAGAGGTGAGGGTTTTTCTCTCTTTTTTTCTTGTTGCACAAAAACCATGAAAACCTATGACTTTCAAATTTCCACTTTTGGTGCCAATTTCAGCAATACCGTCCAGGGTGTTTTGCACAGAAAAGAAATTGAGGAGGACTCATGAGGTTCACACCCCTTTTCCAGGCCCTCCTGGGAACCAGCCCCCATCAAGAAATAATATTATTCTAGCACGGCTTAACAAAAGTGACATAATTTGTTCCCTGATGTGCATCTCAGCCATATCAAATAGATGTGATGAGATAATGTGAAGAAACAGCATTCTTCATCTCCGCAGCGTTAACATTTACAGCTAGGAGATTGAGACTTGGAATAAAACCCTGCACCCTGGAGCTCCCCAACTCCAGCTGCTTTCTAGTCAGGCATCCCCATTTCTAGCACACTTCATTTCCTTTGATCACATACCTAGGCCTTTTTTTCCCCCCAATTCCCCCCTTCTCCGCTACAAACATTCATTCTCCTGTAGCCACTGATAATGCGGTGTTTATTCAGAGGGGAGACAGAAGCTGGCTAATTTAACTTTTTTTTTTTTTCTCCAAATGACAGATTCCCTCAAATGCCTCCCTAAATGGCCTATTAGCCTGATTTTGTTTGCTGTTAGAGAGGGAAATAATTGGGGGAGTTCCACTGGTAGATGGTACAAAAGCTGGAGGAACGTATTTCCTGAAAAGACCGCTTGGCCAAGATTTTGCTCCATGAGAATTAGGAAAAGACCTTTTCTGGAGCTAAGAACCCAACTTGGGTTTTGAGTTGGGTGCTGGGGCCAAAGTTGAAAGGGAAGCTAGTTCAGGACAAAAAAAGTGGGCAGAATCAAGACTATTCAAGTTAAATCTGAATTAAAATAATTTGCTTGGAATCTTTTCTTTCCATCACGTTATAATTCAGTGTCAGCTTTTTCACACTCAAGATTTGGAGATGGGAATGTTGAAGGCTTTCAGTTAAAATAAAAAGGGGGTGAAGTTACTCAACTTCCTTTTCTGCATCACCTTAAAGTAGTCTTTGCAAGTTTTTCATAGGCACTGTCTTCTCTTCGCTTTTCCCAATCATCCACCCACCTTCCTTTTATTTATTTTTCTTAGCAAACTCTGTGGATAAAGAATTATCTGAAGCTCTGGCTGCAAAGAAGACAGAGTTGGAGAAGGTAAGCAGGAAGAAGTTCTGCAAAGGATCCAGTCCCATGTGTTTCAACCAGGACATGTTGTCCTTCAGATGTTGCTGAAATACAAATCCTGGTGGCCTTCTTTGTTGGCCAGACCTGCTGGGAATTGGAGCTGAGGAACGTCAGAAGGTCATAAGTGGTTCGCACCAATTTAAGCCATGTCTAGAACACAGGAGAGCCACCTTTTTCACAACCTCAATTACACTTAGGTGGAGACATTTCTGCCTGGTTAGAAGAGGGCCTCTCAAAATTAAATCTCAGGTCAGACATCACGACGTGTGTTGACATTTTGACATCATCGTGACTTGTTATGAACACTGCTGCTGAGTAATGGGTTGAGTGAGTCTCTTACTGAACAATAGTTACCTTCCAAAACTTTTTTTCTGAAGATTTGTAATTCAGGATGGAATTCCGTTTAATAAATATGGGGGAATGTACTATTCTCTTCTAGTTATTTTATCTAATGTAATATCAATCTTCTCAAAGCTGGGGTCCTCCAGATGTGCTGGGCTACAGTTCCCATCACAATTTGGTGTTAGAGATTATGGGAATTGTGGTCCTATACTTTTGATGAGTTCGAAGTTTGGGAAGGCTTATCAACAGGTACTTTCCATGTGAAACCAGCCAGTTCTTTAGTGAGATACCAGGCCTCCATTCCATGTCCTCAGCAGTCAGAAAAGCAGGGAGGCTCCAGATGGCATTTTGGATTCCCACCACAATTGCTATGTAAACCACAACAGGTCTTCCCCCCAGTTCTGAATTAGTGTATTGTGTTAACGTGTGTGCTAAACCAAAAGGCTTAAAGAAGGAGCATCCATGTGCCATTTTTCTCTGCCCTTGCCCTGCCCTGTATTTTAATCAGTTTGAGGCTTGCCACACCAGCTGTGTCTGGAGTGGTGATGCTGGGTTTCTGCAAGCCAATGGCAGACATTTCACGTTGGGTTGATGTGGGAAGCCTCAAACCTTGGTTCAGTGCAATGCACAACACCAGAAACATGCTCCGGCCTAGTATGTTCCATGAACCAGTGCGCCTATTTACAAGTAGGCCCTCGTTTGAAGTTCAGAGAGAATCCAAGACGGAGCTCTCTTTTACCAGATCTTCTTTCAACAGCTTGGAGTTAACAACATCACCCACGGTGGCCAACCCCTGGACGCTGAGCCCACGGACCATCTCAGCCTCCCTCTGATTATCACCATCATCTGCATGGCGGCGTCTCTGCTCCTCGTAGCTGCCGTCTATGGCTGCTGTCACCAACGTATTTCTCAGAGGAAGGACCAGGTAAATAAAAATGCGGGACTAAGAGTGTTAGCTTCTCTTTAGAGCAGCTAACACTCTTTAAGGAGGCTGGCCGTATCTTTCAGTTTGACCAGGATTGTTCCATGTTTGTATTCCTGATGTGTCCTGGCAGGTTTGCAAAACGTTCTGAGAAAAATTGGCTGCACGCCCCAAAACGGGAGTGACCTTTTCAACGATGTTCTCAACTTTTGAGTTGAGGACTTTTGAAGGCACTCCTAAACTCATGCTCCCCAGCTATGTCTGCTTAGACTTGCACATTATGAACACTGTCCTGGTGTCATTGCTTGAGAATACAGAAAGCCAGCATGCCACAACGAGGGTTTCTGCTCACGGAGGTCAGGAAGCCCAATCACATTCCTCATTTATTTCTTTATAGGCCTAAATTAAAACACAAGGGTAAATCTGGAATCTCAGTGGGGCCAGATTTTTGAAGGACTCTCTACCTCCATGGGAATTTGCCCAGCCAGTATCCTAGAGCACTATTTTAACATTTTCATTGGTAGCCCTCCATGCCCAGAGGCACATCGTTTGAGTTGGCAGTCATATCAGTATCTTAAATAAATACATGTTCTAAGTAAGTATGTGAAATCCACCCCAAAGGACGGTACCCATTTTGTGGCAACCCCTCCCAACATTTCTAAGCCCGGCAAGATTTCTTTAATGGACCTTTTTTTTTTAGCTTGAGCAGAAGGCAGCCTCTAGCTGACTTTGGCTGGTCTTGGAAGCTCTATAGCAATGTTCCTCAACCTTGGCAACTTGAAGATGGGTGGACTTCAATTCCCAGAATTCCCCAGCCAGCCAT